CCTCCCTCCCTCCCTCCCTCCCTTCAAAACACCACACCCACCTGTGCGCCACGCCCATGCGATGCAGCTTCTCGACGCCAGCGAGGATCTGCTGGAGGAACTTGCAGGCCTCCCTGTCCGTCAGCCCGCGGTGCGCGTTGATGTAGTCGAAGAGCTCGCCGCCCGACGCATACTCCATGATCAGCAGCAACTGGTCGTGTGTCTGCAGGATCTGATAGACGCACAGAACAAGACAGAGTGGATGGATGGATGGCGAGGTGAGTGCGGTACCTACCTCGTAGAGCTGGATGACATGTGGGTGTCGGATTCTCAGCAGAATGCTGATCTCACGGTTGACCCTGGTCCAGTCCTCTTGGCCCCGGATCCTGTCTTTCTCTAGTATCTTGATGGCAACCTTCTCGCCTGGACACCAACCAACAAAACACACACAGCACGCACATCCAACACACACCAATTTGCCCAGCCCAGCTCAGAGTCCTTTGTCTTTCTCACTCACTGGTCTTTGTGTGGGTCCCGAGCCTGACTTTGCCAAAGGTGCCTTCGCCGATCGTCGCTCCGAGGACGTAGTCGCCAACTTTCTTGACTTGGTGCTGGCTGCTCGCGGCGTTCCCCTCACCACTTGGCCGGCTTGCTGGGCTCCAGCCGTCGACGTTGGCACGCTCACGGGTCGGGCCGGGAGGGATGACCGGCACCGAAGGGTCGGTCACACGCGCTGTCAGGCCGGGCGACTCGTCCACCATCACCACAGGCAGCTAGCAGTAGCGAGACCAACCGACCGAGTCTGACTGATGCGATGAATCGCCGACCGAGCTCACGAGAAGGAATCCAATGACGTGACGCCTCTGGCGGGCTGTTGTCGAGCAAGGGGGATGGGCGACTGGGCCACTGAGGCAAATGAGGAGCAATGGATGAATCAACCGATGGGAATCCTCCAAGCACCAGCAGATGGGTGCAACACAGGCGGCTGCTGGTCCTTAGACACCAGTGGGCTCAAACGAAAGGATAGAAGCTGCGCTCTCGGCGAGTGCCGATCCCAGGTCCCTCGGCATGGAATGTCGCAACTTGGCGTGGTTGGGCATCTACTCCACGGTGTGAAGACCTCATCATTCCGTCATTCCTGGCGTGGGAGTGGTCCGGAGGCCCTACTGGCCTTCTGCTGGAAATCTGTTTCACGCAAACAATTGCCCTAGCCCAGACAGAGTTCGAGAATTCGAGACCTAGGAGACGCCCTTTTTTCTTAAATTTTTCTTTTCCCAGTCCCATCCTTCATTCAGCCTCAGGACGCGAGTCCCCTCCATACCTGACCATGGCCGCACCTCCCGCACACGCGCGGGCAACGGCGCAACGGATTTCTTCCAAGGATCTGACACCGGACACAATAACCAACCAACCGACACCGGGCGACTGGCGACAATGGACGCACGCCGGCCCTACTGGCCCTGCTGTGCTTGTGGAAGCCCTCCCCTCGCCAACATGCCAGCAGCGCGTGTGACCGCCCCTTCGGCCGGGGCGAGTGGTGAGGCGGACGAGGCGAGCAGCGAGCACCACCGAGTGACGAAGGTTGGCGACTACTGTACGTCCTCGGAGATACGATTGGCGAAGGCACTTTTGGCCTAGTCAGGCTGGGGACCCATACCAAGACGAGTGAGTGAGAAAGGGGATGGATTGTGGGCTGGGCTGGCATTCTGGTGTGTGTGTTGTGTCTGTGTGTTGTGTGTGTGTCTGTGTTGTTGGTTGGCTGCTGTTCAGATGAAAAGGTAGGTGGCCATCAAGCTCCACAACTCCATCGGACTCACCGAGAGGGAGGCGTTTCTTTAAGTTCCTGCACCAGCCGAGAGCTGAACGCTCCACCAGACGGGCGTCGCTCGTTGGTGGGTGGGGAGGGAGGGAGGGAGGGGAGAAGGGGTGGCTTGTGTCTCTTTCTTCTCTCTCTTGTCACTTCGCTGGAGGTGTCAGGGACC